TATGGTCAGGGCTTGAGATTATTCAAAATCAAAACAAGGGGCGAAAAGGAATTCGGGAATCCATCCAGCGACGAGGAAAAGGATTAAAGCCCTGGACCTTCGGATTACAAATCCAGCGCCACATCCACTGAGTCACCACTATGCCATGCCGCCTTTGCACATTATAAAGTTCGACTATGTATAGGCAGAACGGGAGAGTTGCTTGTAAGATAGGCTTTGGAGTATATTTTCCTATTCCCACAAATTTTCCTGGGAAGGATTTTTGTTGATAACGAACTACGATACTCCCCCTTGTTTCAACCTGAAGAACCGGCTAACGGTTAAACCCCATTGAGATCCTCCGGAAAAAGCTTACACGATTGGAGCGAGATGATTGTGTTAGAAGTGAGATTGCACTGCGACAGTGGGGGAGCATCACCCCCCGAGGGGGACTCCCATATGAAAAGGACGGGGCTGCTCGTCGTACCCTTAGGGGTTAAAAACGCGGTTTTGGTACTTCTTAGGGTGTTCAGCCTCAGAAGGCCCCCAGCTAGAGCATTTGTGGTACCTTTCAGGGTATTGAGCGGAAAAAAAAAAGACAGGAAATAATCTGTTGTTTTAGAATTGGTACCTCTTACTGGACCTAGGGGTGAAAAACATTTCAAGCCGTGCCCACAAAACAAGATCTTTGTGGCTCCTGATCTTAGGTACGGAGCCCCCAATAGGACATTCACCAAAAAAGTTTGAGATGGAAAAAAACAACTTATAAGACGACTTATAACTCGTCCAAGACGACTTATAAGTCCGTACACCTTTTCACTCCTCTAAAACGACTTGTAATTCGACTTACAATTCGTCTATGGCAAGGTATAAGTCGATTTATAACTAGTCCACGGCAAGTTATAATCGACTTCTAACTCGTCCGTGGCGACTTATAACTTGTCCGTGGCGACTTATAAGTCGACTTATACCTCATCCATGGCGACTTATAAGTCGACTTATAAATCGTCTATGGCAACTTATAGGTCGACTTATAACTCATCCTTGCTGACTTACAAGTCCACTTATTATATGACCAGCTTCGTGAGCGGGCAAGATGAATCAAATCCTGCGCTGTGATTGGCTACCCGAGCGGGCAAGATGGAGCTATCTTGTCCACTCGGGACCACCCGCAGTGTCCCGCAAGAAAAATTTCCCCGAAAGCTATATAATAAATCCCTTATAGACCAAGCTAGTTCGGTCAAGACGGCTGGATACTGGCCTAGTTCTTTTTTTGCAAGTTTATGGACCTCGACTCCGTCTCGGTCCATAAACACGCAAAAAAAAGAACTTGGCCAATATCCAGACATCTTGACCTCACACTTGGTCAATAACCCATATTTATAACTCGTCCATGCCGACTTATAAGTCGACTTATAACTCATCCATGCCGACTTCAGTATAAGTCGACTTATAACTCATCCATGCCGACTTATAAGTCGACTTACTAGAACTCGTCCATGTCGACTTATAAGTCAACTTATAAGTCGACATGGAGAGTTATAAGTCGACATAAACGAGTTATAAGTCGACTTGTAAGTCGGCGTGGATGAGTTATAAGTCGACTTATAAGTCGACTTATAAGTCGACATAGACGAGTTATAAGTTAACTTATAAGTCTTCTGAGACGTAAAAGAGTAAGTTGTCTTGGACGAGCTATAAGTCGTTTTATAAGTTGTTTTTCTCCATCTCAAACTTTCTTGGTGAATGTCCTATTGGGGGCTCCGTACTGAGTTCTTTTCACAATTTCCGACGGATGACGTCACGTGAAAAGTTCTTCCTAAAAATAGAGTGGCGGGAATTTCCCGGAAGTCACTGTAACGGGGCCGGACAAACCTTCCTAGAAAGGATCGTGACTGTTTTTTCGTTGCATCTTCCGCAAAATGGCTGCGGCTGCAGTGAGCAGCAATAAAGATGCCAAGCTCGCGATCTGTCGCCTTGTGGAAGAAACAAGTGGGCATGAAACGGTCAGATACTTCGGCCCTG